ACCAGTCTCCTCTGTCCATGGAATTTTCCAGGCGAGAATCCTGTGGTGGGTTGCCATTTCCTACTTCAGCATTATAATAATATTTGACCTGGGTTTTGCTCTTGTTGCTGTTTCGATGGTTGTTGGCCTTTTTTCTTTATTTTTTTCCAAGCAAAATGTGGTCCCATCAGAAGACAAACAGATCAACAGCCACTCTTGCTCCCCTTGGACAGCAGGCCCCGCCCATAGTGGGGGTGGGGTGGGCAGGAGGGTGGTGAACTCACTTCCAAAAGACCGGATTAATTTCCCACCGCCTCCCCCCAGGGTAAGGCCTGCCCTGGAAGGGAGACCACCCGGTTAAAGCCTGGCCATCCGATCTGGTATCTGCCCATCTGTCTGTCTGTGTGTCTGTCTGTGGGATCAACAGCCTCCAGCCAGCTCAGCTCCTCGCCAGCCCCAGCCCCAGCCAGCTGTAATTCCTGCCTGTTACAAGTGTTAACACCTGGCCTGGGGCCTTCCTCCCCCGCAGTCTCCAGGTGCCTCTCCGAGCCCAGCCCACTGACCCCCACAGGGTTTGACTGAACATGTTCACAAGCCTCTGAAAGGCGGGTGGAGGTGGGAGTGGGTGGGGGAGGCAGCAGCACATCTGACAGATGGGGAAACTGAGGTAGGGCTTAGGGCAAGTGCTCGAAGGGGGAAATGGCTCCTAGGGTGGTGGAGAGAGCTCAGCTGCTCTTATTTTCCATATCTCTGCCCTTGACTTCTGCTGAGCAATTTTGCCCAAGCTGGCAAGCAGAGGTAGGCTAGTGATTCCTGCGGGAGGAAACAGAGGCCCAGAGGGTTGTGTCCCACAGAGGTGGCTCCTAACCCCCAGCACAGGCCCCTTCCATCAGGGCCTCTGCCTCTGGAATGCAGCAGGCACTAGGCTGGGCTCTAATAAGACTGTTCATTCCCCCCCCACCGCCCCCCCCCCCCCCCCGAGAAGGAGAAGAAAGACAAGTTCCTCCACCAGGCGCTAACTGGGACTGACAAGAAGAATTATAGAAATCAGTGCCGCTGCTACTGCTTCCTGTCCCAACTCTTCCACTACCTGGCTGCAAGGCCCTGGAACCCTCTTCCTTCCATGAGCCTCTGTCTGATGCCCCCCTTGTCACTCGGCCTTCTGGTCTACCTTCTGGAGGCTTGGGCCTGAGCAGTGTGGAACACTGCAGGTGGGGTGCTCTCCTTGATGGGTGGCACAGACAGAAATCCCAGCTGAACAGTTTCCCTTTAAAGTCCCTCCTAGGGAATGTGTGAGCTGGGTGGGCCGAAGAGGGCAGGCTGTGATGGGCTAGAGAACTGGAATCTGGCTGCCCTGGGGGCAGAGTAGAAACAGGAATCTGAGGCCTGTCTACTCTACTGTCCCTGTCCCAGCCTCAGCCCCCTGCTCTGGCCCTGAGAACATGACACCCTCTGCCCTAGCTCCAAGACCGAAGACAAACAGCATTAGAAGGGAGGGCTGGTGCCATAGTCCTCGGGCAGACAGGATGAGCTTGTGCCAAGCAAGGCTCTGCACCTCCCCTTGCCCATGCTGTCCAGCCCCAGATCCCAAGTCCCTGAGCCCCTTTCAGCTTCTTCTTTAAACCCTTGTCTCCTGCTGGACTATCCCTGCAGAACCATGGATGCCCACCAAGCCCCCAAGCTTAGAATGTCATTCACACGTACGGATCATATGACTGCAAACATATCCACAGCCACTTACAGGTCATACGCCTGCAAACCTATCCATAGTCACGGGCCCAACCACGGTCACTGCCACCTGAGGACAGGGTCACAGGCAGACCCCGACACAGCCCTCACACTCATACTCACAATCAGGTCATGGCCATGAGCACTGATATCCATGCACAAAGACATCTGTGGAGCTTTCCCCTTATACGGTCATGAAGGCATGTGCACACATGCGCACACACATGCACACACACACAACACTCACATGCCCAGTCATGAATACAGTCATGCAGTGTCATCAGCAGACACAGGTGCTGACCTCTACACGGGCACAGATACTTCTAGACTTTCTCTGTCGCACACACACACATCACAGAATCAGCCGCTTGCCAACACTTGTATGCAGAGACATAGTACACCCTGGGCTATGGATTCCCCCAGGCACCTTTCACACAAGTTCACATCCACAGTCTCCCATTTGCAAGCATGGATGCTCCTTCACATGGAGGGACGCTAGTGTACAGATGACACTCCTTAGAGTCATAGACCTAAACACACATACTCACACACACACACACACACACACACACACACCTCTCTGCCCAGACAAAGCAACATCTCTGTCCCCCTCCCCAATCCCAAATAAGCCATGTGTCCAGCAATTATGTTAGGGCCAATGTCCTGGCTTTCCAGGTTTTTCCAGCATCTTCCTATTGGGTGGTCCCTATCTGAATGATCCCCAATACACCACTACACAGCAGACCCCCACCCTTCCCTACCAGCACTGCCCCCCAAAAGTGCTCTTGTCCAGCTCATAGGAGAGGGGAACCCAGTCTTTCCCCCTTGGATCCTGCAGCCTATCGGTCTCCAAGCCTTCTCTTTCCACCCTCCCCACCCACCCTGAGGTCCCTGGGAAAGCAGAGAATAGCATCCCCTTGGCCAGAGGATGGGAAAAGGGTCGGGAAGGGCCAGTGAGGCAGGACTGGTTTCTGCAGCAGCCTTCCCCCCGACCAGCAAAGCCCCCAACCTGGAATTCCTGGCTGCCCCTGCCACCCTGGGGACTTCTTTATGTTCAGGAGGCCTCGGGCCAGCCCACCAAGATGGGAAGGAATGGCTGGGCAGAAGAAAGACTTCCCCTTGGGTGTCTGTCCTGGGAGCAACTCTCAGCACCCTCTCTATGAAGCCCCTTGGCCATGCCCTGCTCCTACTCCCATCCTGCCCTCCCAAACACTCAGACACAAATGCTGCCACCCCCAAACAGCAGGAGACAGGCTCAGGGTATGACCCCCAAATCTCCTGGCTCTGCTCCTCCTATCCTGGGCTGGGCAGGGGGTGGTTAAGAAGGGAAAAGGGGACATGCAGGTGGCACGCCTCTCTGACTTTCATCCTGGGGCCACAGACCCTCTGCTTACTCACAGATCCCAAATTCTTCCTCCTCACCTTCCACCCCACCCCACCCCCCCACCCCCGGCCGAGGCTCTCCTACATCCAGGAGGGGAAGATTCTTTAATTAAAGTTTTCCGGAATGCAGGGGGCTGGAGACTGAGGAGAGGCGGGGTGTAATTTAGAGAGCTGGTTTCAGTGTCTTTCCCCTCTGGCCTCTGGGACCTGCCGGGTAGCGATGAGGCCGCTTGGAAAACAAGGGGACTCCCTGCAACTGGGGCTCCCAAAGGGCTGTTTATTCCATGGCCAGTTCCCCCATACAGGCACAACCCCCACCCCAAAACACCGCGCCTGGTTTCCCAGCCTTATTTACTAAAAATGTCTTTTGTATCCGCATTTCTCAGGGACTGAATCCTCCTCTCCCTCTCTCCCTTTCTCTTCGGTCCTTGGTTTTTCCAAAAGGAACGAATTTGACATGGAGAATTGCATTTTTGGTCAAAGAACAAACCCATCCCCTTCCCAAACAACTATATTTTCAAGGAGCCCCGCTTTTGCCAGGATGGACAAGCAAGAAATGAATTAAATCCGAATTCAATGGCATCTCGGATCAGCACATACCATATTCACTTCTGAGGCTCAAGATTAATCTAGAGCAGAGTGGGGAGAATCTGATGAAATCTACCCCCCACCATTACCCTGCCCCGGGGATCCCTGAAGCCACTGGGGTCTAAAATATGAAGGCACAGGGGGGTTATTGTGGGGAAATCTCTTGATGGAGGCGCTGGAGGAGATGGGGGTGGCAACGAAGGAACAGGATGATTTTGCCCATGAAGACCCCAAAATGGAGAAAAGGAGTGGCTGCGCCCCAGGGACCTCGCTGGATTTCCAGAAACCCAACTGCAAGCAAATGGAGGGTCTTCAGGGGGCCCCCAGATTGGGACGGGTTGAGGGTTAGGATCTAAGAATAAGAGACCTTCTGAGATGGGGAAAGTCCTCAAGCCTCTGCAGCGACTAGCAAGGAAAATGGTGCTTATCAGAGAAGCCAGGAGTTGGATTCTAAAGGCGACACCAGCAGAAAATCCAGGGGGGTGGGGGGCGGTGGGCGAGTGGGGAGCTAGAGGGAGGTAAGAAGAAAGGAGCCCCAGCCCTGCCGCAGCCCACCCCCGGCTGGCGCCCCCCACCTCCCTGGGGCTCCGCGGAGAAATCGGGCCGCGGGTAGATAAGAGGCGAGTCTTACCACCAAATTGGGTAGCCGGCGAGGACCCTGGTGCCACAGAGCAGGAGGCCGAGGAGCAGCCGGAGCAGGTGGGGCTCCATTAGAAGCGGCGCCGAGGAGGAAGTTTGCCCGCGACCATGAAGAGGGGGAGCGACGCCCCCAATAGTTGGAACAAAGTCCACTTGAGATTGGAAATGACTTTCGGGCTTGTCAGAAGCGCACCTCCACCCGCAGCTGCCCCCCTCCCGAGCCCAGCGCGGAGCAGCCGGGTTTGAGGATGTCAGCGAGCAGCCAATCAGAGCCCGCGGCCTAAGGTAAGAGATGAGTCTGTAGTTCAGCCTGTCAATCACGCGCCCCTCCCGCCCGGCCCACGAGTCTGGCTCCGGGAAGGGCATCGCCCAGCAAACTTGGGCAAAGCCCGCGCCCCGGACCCAGTGGGAACTTGAGGGGGGACACGGCACCTCGGACCCTCCGCTGGCCCGGAACCGCCGCGGCCCCCCGCCAGCCAGGTTGAGGGAGCCGGGGCTGTGACTGGGGTGTTCACGTGGTGCCGGGTCGGCGTGGGTATTGACGGGTGGCTCCTTTTCTCTCCGGAGACCGTGACCTCTTGGGACTTGGGCCCGGGAGGAATCGAGAGTAGAAAGCACAAGGATGTTTCCAGAAGCTTCGCTCGGGCAGGACAGGATCCGAGGGTCTCAGAGGGGGTTGGGAAATGCTACCCCTCCCAGCCTCCCGAGCCCGCGAGCGGGCCGGGCCCCTCGAGCCGGCCGCGGGAGGTGGCTTCCACGGTCTTCGAGAGGCGAGCGGAAAGGTCCGCGGAGGCTCGCAGGTCTGGCTGCGGGCGGCGCCGGGGGACCGAGCCGAGTGTCATTTGAGTCTTTTGTCAGGGATCAGATCGGTATCGGGACCTCCTGCTGCCTTTGCATTTCCTGCAACTGACACCAGCGGCCAGTTGCATTTCCTGCGCGCGGAGCCGTGTCACTTTCTCCTCCTTGAGGGGTTCAGGCCTGGCCTCAAGCTCAGGTCAGAAGGACACCCACAGTCCCATTTGAATCTTCTGGATGAACCGTTTACCACGCGTGAAACGCAGTAGCCCCCCAGGGAAGCCGCTGGGGTCCTCAGGGGACCTTGCTGCCAAGAGATCCCCTGCCCTGCCCACCTCTCCTGCCTGAGGCTCTCAGCTCCAACCTGGGACTTGGTGATAATGCCCCCTTGCCCTGTATCTAAAGGTATCTAAATACCCCACCCCTGGCCATGAGAAAAAAGTCTTTCCAAGGCCTCCCCTGGGTTCTTTCTCTTCTCTCCTTCCCCAGAGTCAAGGAATTAGGTCTGCCTTGAGCAGTGCTGAGATTGAAGCCAGATTTGGGAGCCCTTGACCCCTATCACCTGGGCGCCTGCCCCCTAACCCTGCTCCCAGGCCACTCAAGGCCCCCATGGGCACTCTGGGTGGGGGCAGGAGCGGGGCTGGAGCATCCCTGGGCCTGGGGCAAAGACTGTGAGGCCAATAAGAGGGGTTGAGGACAGTGACTCCCGGAACTGCATCAGGAGGCCGACCCCCAGCGCTGGGAGGCCGGGAATGGCAGAGTCTTCACCGGGTGGGGGCTTGGCTGGTGGAAGTCCGTGCCAGGGGGCCAGACATTCCTGGCCTTTGATCTGGGCCACCCATGCCTATAGCTTGAACCCACTGCCCCTGCCCATCCTGAGAGCCCTCAGCACACAAGGCTGTGATGGGCGCGGGGAGCTTGGAAAACTGGCCCGGGGGCATCAAGGGTCGGGAGAGCCGCCTGGGCTTGTCACGGCTTCTGGCGCGTTCCTAGCCCGGTGCTCGACTGGAGGGCGGGGGGGTAAGGGGGGGCGGTGTGCTGGTTGGAGATGAAAGAGAGGAGGGGAGGAAAGGGGAGAATAGGGAAAGGCAGAGTAGTGAAAATAGACAGCGCATCAGTGAGGGCCTGAGAGAGAAAGAGTGGGAGAGAGGAGAGCGAGGGGAGACTAGCAGAGGGAGCCCGCAGAGAAAGCAGGGGAAGAAACGGAAGGGAAAGGCAGAGATGGGGAAGGATGAGAAAGGAGAAGAGAAAGCCCCAACCTGCCCAGGACAGTGGATGGGGGTGGAGACTGCAGATGGGGACCTTAAGAGATGGCTCCGTGGCAGGCTGATTCCTGATTCACCTGGAAAGTGGGTTGCGGGGGATCTGCCATTTTCCCTTGGAACCTCAGGGCCCTGACTCTAGGGGGCAGAGAGCCCTCCACACACACCCTTCCTGGCCTGCTAAGTTCTACCTGGAGCTCTGCCTTCCCCAACAGGGAGTTCTCTCATAGTTTTTCTGTCTGCCTGATAGTTTGGGAGGCTCCGGAACCCCACAATCGTCTTTATTAGAGCTGAACAGGACTGCCTTTCCCTGGCCAACAAGACACCACTGTGGATGCAGTGTGGCCAGAACGGGGTGTGGGGGGGTATGAGGGGGAAGAAGGATTAGGTGGCTTCTTTGGGGTCATGTCTGGGTCCCAAGATTCCATAGGTGCCAGCCTGGGAGGTGGGGGCAGGAGATCCCGAAGGCTGTGGGAAGGGTGGGGTGGGGGTTGACTTGCCCAGCCAGTGACCCCAGGTTGAGCAGGCAAGCCTGGCCATTCCCTGAAGGGACACATGTATCCTGATGCCTCCTCCAGGCAGCCCGGGAGCACCGGGAGACCCGGGGCATGAGCCTGGGGAAGAGAATGGAAGCTGAGACAGGGTCACAAGTGGGCGGTAGGGTGGAATCCTGGACTTGGGCTGGCCTCACAGCCCGAGGAAGGAAGGAAGGAGAGCCCTGGAGAGGCGGTGTGGGAACCTGCCGGTGGCGCAGCACAGGCGCCCTGGAGGATGGAAGCTGTGTGGGGATTTCCCCCCACTTGAAAGCGCCCCAGAAGAGGGGATTCCTGAGCCCTTTTCCCTCCCCTGCCAGGTGTCCTTCCTTCAACACAGGCTTAATTTCCTTCCTCCCGCCGGCCCAACGCTGCCGGTGGGAACGCAAGAATGGTCCCTGCCCGGGAGGGGGAGGGCACCCCCGAGCCACGTGTCACAAACGGAAACTCGCTCTGTCTCTTGGGCACCCGAACCGCACTCGATAGGGAAAGGGTTAAATTCACTCCAAGGCCAGCCGGGGCGGGGTGGGGTGGGGGTCGGGGGGGGGCGCGGTGGAGGCATCCGTGTTGGACCCCCGAGGCCTCCGCCTTCGTGGTAAGGTGGCCTCTTGAAAGCGGGCTAGGGGCTGAGGGCTGGCACGCGGGAAGCACTCTGGGTTGTGTGAGGACGTCGGGAGTGACTGCCCGTCCCCGTCCCACCCCCACCGCTCTAGCTGCCCAGAGGTTCATTTCGACGTGCGCTTCCCGGGGGCGTGCCGTCGGCCAGTGTGTATCCAGCGCCGCTCGACCCGGCTCCCTGCGGAGCCACCGCCGAGACAAAGGACAGGGCGGCCCGGCGCCCGCCCGCCCGCCCGCCCGCCGGGGGCTACCCGTCTATCGCGGGGAGGGAGAAGGACATCGTCGATTCAGCCTTCTGCGCTTCACTTGTGCTGGGAACATGCTCGAAGGCCACTGGGGCCCAGGAGCCGGGAGCCCGGACCAGCCTGGGGAGGATGAAGGGAGAGAGGGCAAAGCCGCTGCGGGGCGGGGCGGGGCGGGGCGAGATGCAGCAAGTGCCGGTGGCCTGCAACCTCGCGACTCTTGCAGGGAACCGCACGAAGAGAGCGCGTGGGGGCTCTGTCCCAGAGGGAGCTCAGGGATGGCGTGGGGCTTTGAACTTTACCACCAAGAGCTACAGGAGTCTCTCTAAAGAACAGTTTCAAGCGAGGTTCTCCGTGGAGGCCTCTGGAAAGCTTAGACAACCAGACAGGGCAGCCTGGTGGCAGGTGGTTCCTAGCGTGGATGATGGGTGCAGGACTTAATCGAACAAGATTTCTTTCGACTGCCCAGTAAGAGGTACCATCTTGGAAATGCCGGAAGCCTGCACTGGGTAAGCACATAGATGAGTAACAAACGCCTACGGAAGCCGGACTCTCTGTCGCCCAGCCCCGGCGCGCCCCCTGGCGGCGGTGCTGATAATAAGGCAGGAAGACTGTGGCCGAGGAAGGTGGCCCCGCCCCGCCCCGCGCGCGCACCCGCGGGCTGGAAGCCGAAGTCTTTGTTGGTGAGCAGCCCGGATCTTTGGGGATCCCGGTTAAGTAGGCATCCTCGTGAGTGAATGCCTTTAATCTACTTCGCAATCCCCGAGCTTAGCTAGGGATCAGGTGTGCGTGGCTTTAGCCTCCCCTCTCCTCCCCACCCAAGTGGCTCCCTTGGGAGAGCGGGCCGCGCCCCAAGATGCAGGACGCGGACTGGCCGGTGTGATGCCCCGGGCTTCCACTCCTGGGCACCAACAGGCGGTGGCCGCATGGCTGTCTTAACCTTATGTCGAGGTGTGGGAGGCCGCAGACAGCCGGGTGATGTCACCGAGTCCTTCCTGGCCTGGGCCACCCACTGGCACCCCTAGATCACGGGTGTCACCTGTGGGACCATAAGAGGTTTTCCTGTCCCTCCTATCTTAGTCCTCTCTAGTTCCCCGAGGGCATTTTGGAAAGTGATTTGGGGTCAAAGTCCTTTAGAAGAGAGGGAGCTACCGAAAATTGGGGCGAGGGGGCACCCCTGGCCAGCTGCTTGTCATCTCTGAGCCTCCTCTCTTCCATCCAGGTGGGTAATGCTTTGTATCTCATAGGGAGTTGTCAGCGTTAAATGAGAACCGTGCTGACAGAACGCCAAACCACGGATGGTGAATAATAAATATTGGGTTTCTTTCTTCTCCTCTTAGGGGCTAAGGAAGCAGCGGCTGTCTTGGATTGCTCCTGCTCCTGTCAGCCTCAGCTGAGCAGCTCCTCAGATGCCCAGGAGCCTCCTCCAGATGGATTTATCCAGGAAAATCTTGTCTGACCTCCCAACTTGAGACCTACCTCACCGTCTCCTCTGCAGAGAGACCCCCCCCCAACTCTTAGCTGCTCCCCCTCTTGTCCCTCTGGGCCTCTTATTCCACCTTATTTTTCCACACAGCCCTAAACATTGACCTTATATGCCATATATTCCATGTCTAATGTGTCTGTCAAATTGCCCACTTAACATTGTCTATTCTCTACTTTAAAATTAAATTCTGCCGAAGCCCCAACTCCCAGAGCAGAATCCTGGACAGAGCAGGCCCCTTCTATTTATTGCTCATGACTGGTTGGGGGAGCAAGGGAGGAGGCAGAGGCTGAGGCCCCAGATGAGGGGACCATTGTCTGAGATCCTTATGGCCTTCTGGGGTTCCCATCTTGAGTAGATCCTGGCATCGAGAATTCCCCACCCACCCTAGCTACCCCACTCTGTGTTTTGGCTCCTGTCTCGTGCCCAGATGACACCTGTACTGTTCCAGGGTGGGGCTGAGATCAGGGCTTGGCTGGCTGTCGAGAAGTTGCCACCACCCAGGACACTAGAGGCTTGATGGGCCTTGTGCTGCCAGACCCGCTCTCTGCCCCTCTTTCCCTCCCTCAGTTTCCCTTTTCTTCCAACCCTTCAGTCTTTTTACATCCTTCTTGATTCTGCCTTTGCCTCGGGGCCCTGAGCTCCCACCATGACTGGCCCGCCCGAGCGAGGCCCTGGGGCTTGAGTCCCAGGTCAGTTCCTGCCCAGGGAAGTGCTCCTTCTCTGGGCAAGTAGAGTCAGACCTCTGGCTGGCTGGCTGTGGCTGGTGTGGTTTCTCGTGGTCAGGACTGCCGCTCCCAGTTTTCCTTCTACTCCCCGATGGGTGGGACATAACCAGGAAGGGGAGGCCCGGATGCAACCCAAGAGCCATCTCTGCTTTCTCCTGTCTCCAACCTCAGCCAAACTGAGGCCCCCTTTCACCTGGGCTCCCGGGCAGGAAAGTGTTTCTGTTTTTCCCATCTCCCACAAACGTGTATTTCGTGCCTGCTGTGGGCAAAGCCTGGGGCTGAGCTCTGGGGCTCCATCCTCAAGGGGACCCCAGGAGCACAGGAGGTGCTCTG